AAACATTTGGTGAAAATTTCATGTAATGTATGGTAATTTGTTTTAGTTTCATCAAAAACCAAAATCGAAAATTGATTGTGCGTAAAATTCCCATACTAGTACTAAGATAGAGAATCTTATTTTAACATTAATCAGCTCAACGAATGTTCTTGATGAAAGTAATGCAACTTTACTTCTAGTCTTATCTAACTTCACCTTAATGTCTTTAAGGATCTGACCCACTATGACCATTAGATAATCACCACCCGTCTCTTAATATTAGGTACTATTATTGATTATAATCAGTTTAATCTACTAACGTCAACCGTTTATTTTTATGATTTTAATTTTTGTAATGATATTACAATTAATGATATTAATATTGCTAGATTTTTAACATTTTTAATTGCATTGTTTAAATAKGTAATTATGATGGAAAGGAAATAATAAAAAAATTAGAAATTGCATTGAATAAAATAAATGTTGATGGGTACCTATAGTGTATATTTAACTAAAACTAAATTGTAYGGATTTATATTTAAAGTTTAGTATTAAAAACATTTTACTGAAATCAATCAGCTATACAATTTTGTTAACTGTTTATTTTTTGTTGTTTAGTCAGTGTGAATGACTTTCCTATGCGTGCCAACTTTTTAATCTAGAATCGTGTTCAATGGTGATCTTACAATAAGATACTCAATCTGCATAAGATTATCTGTGAAACTTTGCATGAGATACTCGTRGTCTTTCACGGTATCATAGGTGATGAGAGGATAGCCTATTCAACAAAGATGAAAAAGCTGAGGAGTGTAGGTAATCTGCAGGGAGGTTCGTGACAATTCCTAAAGGAAGCTATGTTTATCAGYGAGGACAAATGTAATGTCCATACATGAATGTTATGAAGAAAAGATGTGAAATGGTAAAAGCGACGACCATATTATTCCCTCGTTACTCGAAAGCATAGTGGACGGACGATACAGTACTTCAGCAACTAGTATCTATTCCAAATGTGGTTTTTTTTTGTCGGAGGAGCTGTTGTTAAAGGTGACTAGAGTACTGAGAAGTAAATAAACGATTATAACATCCCTGACGAAGTTTTCAAAGAGTTAGTGAGGTCAAGAATCTTTCCAAGGTTGTGACAACATAGGCGAACACTCAGTAAAACGTGTTTATCTATCAATCAGAACTAAAAAAAAAAAATGTATTTAATATGTATTATATATTAAGCGCACCTCATTTTTACATTACTACAGACTCCAGGTAGCACCACATAAACCCGAGGCGATTATTCCAACCAAAACATAAGTGTACTGGATGCTGATATTTACGATGGGTGGACATCTAAGTTGAGTTATATATCAAATATCTATATGTTTGAAGTCAGATTTCGGTGACTGTATGGCATTTCAAGAATGTAATGACTACCGCTGTCATAAGTAGACTGATGCCCTATGTCAAAAGTCTGTTAACCTGTAGGAGGAAACTACTTATGTCAGTATTCAACAGCAATTTACCATACACTGGATTTCAGTGGTGTCTAAAACAGGTAAAAACCGATTATCCCTTACTCRAACAAATAAGAACGCATCAGAGTGGCTAATGCTACAGAACCGTTTCAGACATTYTTGGTTTGGGGAGGATGCTTTCATTTCACCTGCTGGYCAATGAACACCAGCGTATTAACGAGTTGAGGTAGGTCGACTGCTTGACTCTGGAAGTAATCATAAGGCAGGAGCACTGAACATCGCAATAGTGTAGATGTAGATGCTTGCGGACGATGAAAGCGGCGTTCCAGACATCATTTTAGGTTCACTGCCGGAGCTTCTTCTAGATAAGTAACGACAAGAAGGAATCTAGGGTGCAACAGAGACCCACAGACAGGTATTTGACAGGATGGTGAGGGCTATACTGGGCGAAAATGAGGAAGCTGATCTTGCACGGCGAAAAATTATTATACATAATAATATAAGAACAACATGGTAAAATAATACAAAATTAAATTTAAAATATCTAATAATCTAATAGTGTTTTTCTCTGAGTTAAATCTTCTATGACGTTATCTTTGTTAACTTTAATTTCGGTTTGAATATTCAATGCTACTAATCCATTTAGTGTATTCTCTGCTATTGAGTTCGTAATGTTTGATTATTTTTAATGTTGGAAATTACCTCTCAGGCCTCAGCTTCACAAGATGTCACGGGTAACGGTAAAAYAATTTTCAATACCTTATAAACTTTACAATATACATTTTTATTACAATAATTACTGATTACTTAAATAAAAATAACAATTTTTAAATTATTATATTAAATGCTCTTTCTGGGGTTTATGTTTTTGAAAATATTTGATTTTTTCGTTATTTTAAAGCTTTTGTTGACTTTGACATTGGACTAACTGATAACTAAATATGAAATAACTTATAGAGATGTTCTATACATTTGAAGGCTTGAACAAGACTATTCGTTATATGGACTAGATTTCTCGATCATTGTTTTCGTTAACYTGAACTTTARCAAAAAGTTTTATTGTGATTTTAGAAGATCGCTTATTCATTTTATACAATTTCTGTTTATAATAATCTCCGAATAACTGAAATGATGTAATACAATTTTAGGTACAGACTTCAGACGATCAAGCAAGGTAAGCAATTGTAATTAGATACTTGTGATTTTCTTTGTCGTATTCTCCAGTTTCCGTTTAATCGCAATATCTGATAAATAATAATTATAGAAATTTGYACATGGTTGTAACATAGATATGAGATATCTTTACGATAATATCACAGAATAGATGAAATAATTTAATAATAATTTCATCTATTCTGTGGTCYAGGCATCCAAAACCGGTGCGTACGAATTGCGTCCTGWATAAAAAGGTATAAAAAGGTATAATACTAATTGCGTCCCGGATTTTTCTCGAGAACGGTTGAATTGCGTCCTCAATATGGGCAGAATACTCGGATACAACATACAACTATAAAAACTACTAATAGTTGTGAAGCTTTTCAATTGAAGCTCAACAATRTGTAATGCACATCCAAACATTTTTCAATTTATAAATATTCTGAAAAGATCACAAACTAATATTTTAATATTTATATAAAACAACGGGGCACTCATTCAAAGAGTYGTACAATCTCGATGATTAATAGAGAACAATTTTTAAAACAAGCAATGGCAGATTTTCGATCAAAAAAAAATAGTAGATTTGAATTCATAAAAAAGTTATCTTTTAAATTTTTACCAATATACGCTAATATTTTTATACAGTTATTATTATACAATTTTTCCACTACAATTTATATTTCTATATTTTTTAATAATTATTTTATACATTTAAAATTACAAATGCAATAAATAATATAAAAATCAAAAACAATATTTTTAACCTACCTATACAGTAGTAATTATTATGTAAATATTATTAAAGACAGTTCTAAGTCAGTATAAAAATGAGAAGAGAAATATTATTTAGTTTTTAAAATATACGAGACGTATTTGATATGCACAAAAAAATCGGGACGCAACTAGTACAACTCCAAAAAATAACTGGAACGCAATTAGTATGACCCTAGAAAATACCTGGGACGCAATTCGGAAGGAATTGGTKCCGCGGGACGCAATTCGTATGCAGCCTCCAAAACATCACCTTGATTGCGTCATTGATCACAATGTTCAGTTACAATTAAACGAAAAATAATATATTACATAATATATGTATCTTCAAATAAAATTCATAAATCATGACAGCTTATTATATTATTGACTGCGATTGGGATTGAAAATGCGAAATAAATAAAACAAGACATTTTTATTTAATATTATATATTACATTACGTATAGATATAATATATATAAATACTTTAGGAAAATCTTGGTGGCACTTTTAATATAATATAGCACACGCAATACATAAATTGGTCTACACCTTTATCTGGTTTTGTAATAGGTATATAGACGAACATATTATAACACCTTTTTTTAAATTATAATATAAAATTATTCAACATCATTATCATAACAGTATTTGGCGAATTTCTTCTTAATATTTACGGGAATAATAATGGAGAAAAATATAAAATAAAAATCACATTAGGTATTTACAAAAAATGTATAACAACAATATTTTTTACTCATTCRCWTTTTCCGTTTTTGTTGTTTATCTGCTCGTTAAAATATTATAGTAACAATTGAACATCCAAAATTTGTTTAATAAAAATTATATAATAATATATTATAATAGTATATCAAAGGTGAATAAGGCAATTATGATAAAAAATGGAAAACATTGCTTACATAATAATAGTATAAATGTATAATAATATATTCGTTACATGCTTATATCCTACAGAAATTATATTGTAATTTTTAATATAATTGCGCGTAAACGTT